CAGAAACGGGCGAAGTGGGGCCCGGGGCACCCGCCCCCCACTCCCGGGCTGCCCCTTGCCTTGGGCCGCGGCCGTGCCGGTGGGTGTCGCTGAGGAAAGGTCTCTCTCTCTGCAGCTGAACCCGGACGTGAACGTGTTCCAGCGTAAATTCGTTAATGAAGTCCGGAGGTGCGAAGAAATGGACCGAAAGCTAAGTACGTTTCTCTCGGGATTTTGGTACGGCTCTAACTCTGTAGCTTTTACGGAAAAAAAATCAACACAGGCTAAACCTGCAAGGCAGCGTTGGAAAACAAAGTGCTGACCGGAGAAGTGAAGGCTGCCTTTCTTCTCTGTCAGCCAGTCAGACTGCCTCCAGGGATTCACTTCCTGCTTGAAAGCTAGCTCTAACCAAATAAGAGGATTTTGGAAGAGGAGGTGAAAGCATTCACAGCTGCTAATCGGGCTAGGTGGAGGTCACGGTGACAGTTTGACATTGAAGTATCTTTTGAGTTAACATGGTGTTGTCTCTCCAGGGTTTGTTGAGAAGGAGATTAAAAAAGCAAATATTCCGATCATGGACACTGGTGAAAACCCAGAGGTGCCTTTTCCACGTGACATGATTGACTTGGAGGTAATGATGTGTGTTAAGACTCAAGTAGTATTTGACTGTAAGTGGAAACAGGGGAAACTACCTCCGTTGGTAGAGACCCGTTGAATTTAGTGGCAAAGGTGCATTGACCATAGTCCCCAGCTGTCACTTGAAATGCTAGCTCTGCTAGCTCACATCAGGTTGATTTTGATTCACAAGCATTGTCCTGCTTCTGCATTTATCCAAATGCAGTTGGAAGTGAAAGTCCTTAAAGGAAATTTCACCCATTTAAATGAGTCAAAAACTGTTGGAACTGCATGGTTTATGGTGGGTCTGTCATAAAGTTTATAAGGGTTTTAATGATTTGAAGAACCCTTTATGAATCTAGTCTATAAAAGATTGGCTGCGTATGAAAAGTTTCAAGCTGCCTGAAGGGAATGCCACAAATCTGGATCTGTGTGCCATAGCAGACTGGAGATGCATCTGTAATTCGATGCAAGTCTCATGGGAATGTAGAGCATCTTGCCTACTTTCTTGTTTTAATAGACTTAACAGCACTTATTTATGGAATTGCTTTAAGTTCTTTTTCTTTCTTCTTCTTTTCCTATCTTGCAGGCGAACTTTGAGAAAATTGAAAATGAGCTTAAAGAAATCAACACAAACCAGGAAGCTCTGAAGAGAAACTTCTTGGAACTGACAGAGTTAAAATTTATACTGCGTAAAACTCAACAATTTTTTGATGAGGTCAGAATACCGGGGGCGGGTTAACACTTGGGCAGCTGGTTCTTCTCTCACAAATTACCATTTTTATTCTCAAATATATTTTTAGTTGCTGTTTTGGACAGCAGGGTCATTTTTATGCTTTGTTTAAGAAAGCTTCTCAAATTATTTTCCATTTTTCATGCAGTACGCATAGCTACCCATGATTTACCTTTTACGATGTTGTGTTTGGGGTTTTTTTAGTTAAGCAACGGTTTGTCTAAAAATTGTGTAAAATAATTAAGGTGCTAGTAGTTTTTAAAGCAAATCAACAGACCAAAAAATTGGTGTTACAGTGAGCACTTTCTTCGGCACGTAAGAGTTTCTTTGGTACGTATGCAGATAAGCAGCCATGCCTCGCTTACACAGGGCAATTACAATCGAGCTTAATTTCTCGTCAGCCTTTGAAATGTTATATGGAGATGACTCATTAAGGTCATAATACAAAGTCTACTGAAGTAATAGAGTATTTATTTGAGCCTTTGATCAAACCCTAAAGTTTTCAGAGGCAAGTTCTTGTACAGAGCTGCTGTTTAAAATCTTCAATGTGTTGTCAAATACCAGCTAGGCCAGAAAGCAGCAACTCTTTCACTGGACCTGGGAAGAGCTTCTCTGATGTCATTCATGATACAGACATGAAGCCTGCACGGGAGAAGATATAATCTTCATTGTAAAGCTTAAGTATCTCAAAGTCTAGGGAGTTTTCTCAAAGAGCTCCTGTATGTTTTTTAGAGCAGTAAGGACATGTTTTTGCTGAGTACATGTCCTGTTTCCTCTAATCCAAGGGTTTGATCAAAGAGTTCTTAACGGATGTGGCTTCTGGCCTTTACAAAGGCTGTGATCAAGTAGAGCTGGGCTCCTGCAAACTTCAGACCTTTTATCTAACGGTTCGGTTTTTTGGCACAGGATGCCTCCTGTTCAGGCATTAAGGTTGTTCCCGTGCCAACACAAGTCTTAGTCACTGCTGACATAGATACTGCTGCTAGTGTGATCGGTTTATTGGTCATGGGGTTGGTTTCAGTACAAAAAAAAACCCTTGTCTTCGAGTGTTGAATGTTCACTTACAAGTCGCTGGGTCTCCTTGGACAAACAGCGTTAACCTGGTAATCGGTTACTTAGCTGCATTAAGGTGCCTCTGCCTGCCTGTTCTGAGTATTGAGTAAAACCAAGTACGGCTAGTGCTGTGCGCTTTTTTTATTAATTACTGTCCTCTCTGGTGAGAGCTGCCTACTGCTGTTCTTCAAGTACAGTAGGACCATACTAAATTTAAAGATCAAAATCAATTTTCTACTGAAACCATGTGCGTCAGGTCACCCACAAAAGGGAACTTGTGTCAGACTTAAATGAACTGGCCATGCAAAGTTTAGATATGTTCCTGCTCCTGTTTGGTAACTGTTTTCTGTAATAATAAACCAAAATACAACAAATAAAGCGTACTGCTATATGCAAAAGCAAACTGAACAGCTCATGTGTGAAGTTCAGTAAAGCGTAAGTGTTGAAAGTTTAAAACTGTTTCAGTGCACGCTGTAAACAGCAAACAGCTGCGCGTGAGAGATCCTTCCTAGTCCAGGACTTTTGAGCCTTGTGCAGTCTGCTTATTATCCCGAAGTAGTGAACACTTCATTTCTTCATGCTGTCATCTGCACAGCACCTTCAACACTTGAAGACTTCAATAAGTTGTAATTAAGATTGTGTTATTCATAGTAATAAGTTGCACAAGAAATGGCTTACCATCCAAAGTACTTTACATTGGGCATTTGCTCTGCTCTCTGGAGTTTGTGCACTGGGGAAGGAAGGGTGGCAAAATTTTTTCACTTGTTCTTTATATGACCGTTCTAGTCAAAGTAGCCATTTCTTGTTTCAACATACCATGTTGATGATTATGCTCCTTTTCTCAGTCTTCTTGTCTTTGCTTATGAAGAACAGTATGAGCTGGAGAGATTTCTCTGAAAGTTTTGCCTAGAGTGTGAGCGTAAAAGAAGACTGGAAAAGTAATGGTTAATGGCATGCAGTCCCCTGTCTCTCTTTCCTCTAACTCTTCTCGCCATCTGCTTTTTTTTCTGTTTGTTTTGCATCTGTCATTTCTGTCTGGGCTCTGGATTAATAACTTAGATGGTGAAATGAATCCTTTTTAGTTCTTGTGAAAATTGATTTTTGTTTTCTTTGTGAACTGGAAGGGGCTTGAATTGTATGGCATTGTGTGTAGCGATCAAGAGCCATTACGGAGCAGAACTACAATCAAGAGTAGGGAAAATTAACCTTTTTTCCTGGCCTTGAGATTCAAGGTGCTGATCTGGGTGAACAATAAGCAATTTTAAAATGTTTAATAATGAAAGATCCGCATTCTAATTACTGATGTGCAAATGCTTGGTTTTTTCCAATCCCGAACAATCTGATGTAGTAAAAAATGCTTCATAGTAACTGTCATATTTCACTGGCTGCTGGTGAAAACTCATATTCAAAGTAAATTTCCTAGAGTCTTGGGGGTTTTTTGCATTGTGGCTGGATGGCTCTTTCATTTCCATGTAGTCTCTCAATTTTTTATTTCTGTTAAATCTTATAACACTGCTTGAGTTATCCTTCCAGAACCAGCTGACGTTGCTATGCCGTTCCCTTTCTAGAAAGGGTGAGATCAAATCAAAGTAGTTGAGAGATGAGCTTAAAGAACACAGCGTTTTGTCATACAAATAATTCTTGCGTAAGAAAGTTCTTGTTTGGTAAAACTGGTCTAATGCAAATTTGTTCTAAGATGTTTTGTTTCATAATTTCAACCCCTCTAAGCAGGACTTGTCTTTGTTTTATACATTGTCCTGAATAAAGGACGCACAGCCCAAAGGGGTCAGAGGTAATATTAGACATTTATAAGAATTACTCTCTCAAGTGAGGCGGATACAAAGTTTTCACATGTGCTATCCTTCTTTTTTTATGTTTCATATGCTAAAATGTGGTGCACCTCACAAAAATGATTATAGACGCTATCTTGATTACAGACAAATACAATACAAGCCTCTTACAATTGTAACTTTATCGTATTGTTTTTCAACATCTTGAAATCTAGATATCAAATAATCACTGGTACGTTTGGTCTGTATGTTTTGTTTTGGGGTACCAAACTTTCTTATTTTGGTTGCGTTCTCTATGAAGCAAAATTGTCGTTCAGTTTTTGATGTTGCAACAAGTTGCCTTAAAGTTGAAAGGATCAGAAGTTCTTCATGTTGGCTTTCCAAGCTAAATTAAGGGCTCCCTTACTTTTGTAACATCTGTAAACTAAAGCAAGTGTGTGTACAAGCAATTGTGCTGCATTTGATGTCAGCCTTGCAAAAACTTTTCTGTATATGGTAAATACTTCTATTTGACATGCAACTAAAATGCTGCAGAGTTTTTCACTAAAATTATGACGCAACTATTGCACAAATAAAGAAACTGCGGCTGAGTCATTAAACTTGCTATATACTTTTGCAAGGCTGCGCTGTATGTGTGCATGCATTTGACGTGTTCTAGGGTCAAACTCTACCTTCAAGTGTATTTTAGCCAGTTCCGTTGATAGCTCTGTGGGGAAGACCTCCTATATACCACAGAGAGTAGAATTTGGCCCTCTGTTTGTGCTAAGGAACTGTAATTTTTGTCATTTCATTATATAAGCTGCAGAGGTAGAAATAGCTGTGGCATGGGGTTGAACGAAGTATGAAGATGGTGCACAAGAGGATGTGATTTGAGCGTCCTTTCTGACTTGAACTGCTGATACTTACAAGCTATATTCCCAAGAATTTTAGCCAGCAAATTAGTTGCAATGAAGGACAGTATAAATCCACGTCCTATTTTAATGCCTGGCTAGTCAAAAAATGAACAACATTGTCAGGCTGCCCTAAGCAATGCACCTTATGTATCTGGCAATAATAAATATAGCGAATAAGGACAAATATCTTGAATGATTAACAGATATTATCAGTAAGCATGTTTTTAAGCTGGAAGTATTGTGTGTGGAGGGAGAACTTTGTAAAGCCAGTAAAGAAAACTACCATCCAGTACTTCCAGGTTTTGTTACTGATTCTGACCCTGTATCTACGCTGATGTGGCAAGTAACATGGAATCAGTCAAACTATTGCCGCCTAATTCCAAAATGAAGGAGGTATTGCCTTTGCTTTGGAGTATGGCAGAAGGCTGACACGTATAGGATGTGCAGGTCTTGCATAACTGGTTGTAGGGTTCCAACCTTGTGAAGTTGCAATCTAACCTGTGGTCAGTTAAACTGTCTGTGGAAGACTTAACCTGAGCATTGTTCCCCTGTTGCGTAGAACAAGACTCCCAGGCTACTTTACATGCAAATACAATTTTGCAGGCACTTCTTAGAAACGCCTTTTGCATCTTTAATATGCAGAAAATGCACAAGTAGTGCAAGAGGGAATCAGCATCTACCTTCATGTTTT